TTCCAAAACAAACTACTTAGGGATGCAGTTAACTCTCCGTGGTATGTCCGAAATGCTGATCTATATCGTGACCTTAAAATACCTACTGTCAAGCAAGAAATACAGAAAACTGCTAAGCCATATTATGGCAGGCTTAATCAACACTTAAACAGCAATATTCCGGTATTACTTTGTGATGTTACACACAGACGCTTAAGTCGCTTTGAGGCGTTTCAACCAGTAAGGAGATGACTAGTTTAGAACTATATGCTCAGTTTAGATAAGTAACATTACTTGTAATAATAAATTAAAAAACCTCTTGTTAATCAATATGGCTAGTTATTGCTAATTTAAACTTTGCACATTTCAGTTAGAATAGATTTTGATTATGTTTTCGTGGATTAACAATTAATAAAATGTAAAGCTTTATGATATGTGATCGTCTATATTGAAACTATATCATTAATCTGATAAAAGAAGTGGTTGTATATTTAAAATTAATTAGGAACCGTAAAATGTTTAATTTGAAGATGTATTTAATGATTTTCATTTCCAGTATATCTGAAACTCTCTTGCACGGATAAGAGTTAATAAGCAATTAGTGTCCGCTGAACAGAGGTTTCCATGTTCTTTAAAATTAAAAAAATATAATTGCATTACATTGCTCTTAGCAATATAATACCTGTAATTCATTTTGAAAATTACATTCAAAAAATTATCTTTAGTTTTTAATTTCATATTTAAATTTAATTTGATTTTAACTGTTAATAATTTCTTAAAAAATTATTTAAGGTTAAAGTGCCAACAAAACTAAAATAGTGAAAAAAATCTAAAAAAGTCTAAAAAAGTGCTAGCTAACAGCAATAAAAGTGTGAATTCTCAATATCACTTAGGGCCATGTTATGTAGAGTCTCACGGGCACGTCAAAATTGTTGTTATAGTGCTTATAGTGAAAATTGCGCTTATAGTTGAAACGTACTATTATCATTGCTAAGTGGATTTACGCGCTATTCACACAGCACAAGTTAACGTGATTCAACATCACCACATTATGTTTTTAAACTGAATTTGAGAAAGTATGCATAGGAAACAGATTTTTCATTTATGTGGAGGATTCTGTACTTCGCACTGTTAAAATGATGATATGACTTATTCTTCAATACTATAATGTTGTTACGAAATTATAAATTTTAAATTTATAATCTTCTTGCAAATCTTCAAAAATTACGTATAATTGCCAATTCAAGCTTACTTTCTGTCAGGTAGTTTCCTTATTGTCGTGTGAATAGCGTATAATACACTCTCTACTAACATATTAGTTTCTTGTTTCTTTGTGCATAGTTTTTGCATTTGTATTGTTACTTCTTGTTCTTTATGTTTGTATTTAACAAAAATATATTGACGACTAAAGGGGAGTTATCAAAAAGTTTATAAATTGTATGTTACACAAAATATGAGTGTTTATGTTATTTAATGTTATTTCAATTTAACATTCATAGAACTAATTTGAATAAGACTTCCCTTAACAAATGAAAAATATCTACAATTAGTCTATGTGCAGACGTCAATTTATAAAAATTCTATTGAATCGTTAGTTTCTTTTATAATTAGACTGTAGTACTGGATTTCGGAACAAAATGGTGCGAAAGTGTTTATTGGAGTTATGGACAACCACGACTTGAACCAGCATTAAACCACTTGAACCAACATAACATTAAAGGACTTAATTGCTACTGGCTTTATATGTTTAATAAATTTTAATCATTTTTATATACTTTTAATTTTTTTACTTAATTTCCACTTGATTTCACCGCCTTTATGAAAAATGAAAAGGTTATAAGCCTAATATCCAAGTGATTTTTTATAGTGCTAGCGAAGTATACAATGTATGTATTTTAATATTTATATTCATTAATAAACAAAAAAAAAAAAACAATGCTATGAAAATCGTGAAAAAGTTTAATTTTTTATTCTAAAATAGACACATAAGTTCCGTTTCATATTTTTATATGGGTTTTTAAAATTTTTCCTATAAATTTTGCTTAATGTGACAACAAATTAATATTTAACATGTTTATCTCATTAAATTAATTTATTATTTAATAATGTGTTAAATGCTTAATTAAAAAGAATTTATAGCAAAATAAAAAACATTTCGCATGACGAAAGCAAATATTTTTATTTTAAGATAAAAAGCTTTTAAATTATATATAAATTTGTATATATGTAGAAATTATAAGAATAAAACAATTTTTATTATTTTATTTTAAATTTTATTCAATAACTATTTAATAACTAATTTAAAACTTTCTACCTCGGAGCAATACAGTTTAGTGTGGCAATATTTTTTTAAAATTACTTTTAAATTAACGATAATAAATAAAATTTAAAATTTAAAAAATAAATAATAAAAATATTTGAAATTTTAGCTGAAATGAGTTTTATTGATTTTTAAATATTTAAAATGCTAATTTAATTTTTTTTTTGACCATCCCAAATTTATATATGGCGCTTTGTATTAAATAATTCTAATGGAAAAAATAATTTAATATTTATTTAAAAACTTTATAGTCCTCATAAATTAAAATATTTTTATTGTGAAAAAAAATGAAAAATTGAAACAAAAGCTTTTTTTTTGGAATAAACAATAATTTTCGAGCCGTTTATAATCCCTACACAGTACGAGTGAAACACATTACACATTTCTCATTAACAAACATACAGGGTCATTTAAATGTATTAATAGTATTTGTTAAGTTAATATATATTTTAATTCATATCACACATTTCATTGTGTTATTATTATGAATTTTTTTAGTTAAAAAAAATATTAACTAATTAAATACAAATAGCCTAGATTATATACATTAGAAGAGACCAATGATGCACTTCAATCTATGCGATTAATTGTGATGCAGATGATATATATTTTTTATAAGTAAATAATTGCTTATAGTACCCATGTATAATGGGTATGTATAACGTATAATGTATAATGTAAGTATAATTTATGTATAAGTAAATAAGTGAATATATAGTACCCATGTATAATGGGTATATATATGGTATGTATAATTTATGTATAAGTAAATAAGTGTATATATAGTACGCATATCTAATTTTTAATGTATATATATTTAGCGGAACTGATTTTTATTTTTATTTTTAAATTATTTCCCAATAGATCAGAAAATATAAAAGTTTAAAATTAAAATAAATATTAAGGGAATAAATTATTTTATTTTAATATTTTATTTCATATTTCTTGTTTTAAAATTTAAAATTAATTTAGAACTTGGTTACCCATTATATTGCTTGATAAGAATATAGGCGATTTAAATTTTATTTCCACACAATTTTAAGTGTGGATGCTTTATATATCAGCACTAATTAAGATTATTGGAAAAATATTTAGGAAATGTGAAACTTTTTTTATTTACCCAACAACTGTACACCTACAATAATCCAGATGTGAGTATACATAATTTTCGGCACCAGCAGATTCATTTCTATAGGTTGTTTATTTATGATGAGAGTTTTTCATAACACTTACTATACACTGCAAAAAAAATAATACTATTACTTCCCATACATTAATTTTTTTTTAAATCATCGCAAAGATTCTTTTATAAACAAATAATGCCTCTATTGATAAAATAGTATTGAAATTTAACAATTAAAACTAAAAAATATTATTAATTAGTTCAACTATTCTACAGCTGGTTTATAATTTCGTTCTAATATGAACACAACAAATGTATTTCTTAATAAACTTTCACAGGAAATTAACAAAAATCAAAAAAAAGTGCTAACATACAAGTCAAGTACGGCTAATGGCTAATGAACGCTGACTCTGAGCTTAAAATCCGTAGTATTTGGCAGGGCACAAGTTCAAACCCTGGTATTTGCAATCTTAAAAAAAAAATTATTTACGAAGAATAAAATACAAGAAATAATTCGGGTATTTGACAATACTCGAAACAGCTGTATGGTCAGCTAAAAATTCAATTAATTAAAATAATTTAAAAAATAGTTTTTGTTGTTGTAGTTCACTACTTTTCAAAACCTCTCTACAAAAAATCTTATAAATAATGCTTATGATGTATATATAAAAAGCTGTATCCAAATTATAAGAATCTAATATTAAACGTGTTGGAATTTATTTAAAACGAAAAAATAATTAGCACATCACTTAATAAGTCTCAGATCTAGCTAAGAAAATCAATTTTTTAGAAAATGGATCCGATCAACACATTACACAGTTCAAGAGCGATACAATCCTTCCGATGCTCCTCTAACCTATCGACACTTTTTTGTAGCACGATTTGTCTTTACTCATCATATGAGCCAAAGCATCTTTTCAGTGGTTGTAAAAAGCCAGTAGGAGCTGGGGTCCGAGTTATAGCATATATTGGGTGGAAAAGTAATTTAAACGAATTCATTGAATTCAACACGCACTCTTTTAATAATGTCAACTGACTCATATATGGCTATAATAACGAAATTTCTGATAAATTAGATTTAAATATCTGATCAGATTTAATCTGATCTGGATTTGATTCTACTGTGTTCTTATAATGTACTAAATGTTAGATATATTTAATTTTTTCTCAGACGATCGCAACTAAAAATTAGCTTATTTTTCATTTGAAGTATTCTAACCATTTAATTTTCCTGTTGTGGGAGTTAAGAATTGACAGATCTTTTCAGTGTATTGCTTTCTCAGAGATCCTTAAGTTTAGCAAACTACTACAAAATACAAAACACATATATTTTCTTTAATTTATTAAATTTTTTTTTCTAAATATATTTTACTTAAACAAATGGATGCTTTCATTGGATTAAAGATTTCACGATTTATTTCATAGTAAGAGTACTCATTTTATTAGTTATGGAATTCCTATGGTATTGTTTTATGGGTGTGCTCTTGAGATAATTGGTTCATGTGTGGAAAATGTGAGAGGGAAAGTTGAAAGGTGTGTTTGTAGAAAAATGTTTATTGTAGGGAAAAGTCTTAACTTTCGGTTGAAAATTCCAAAAAATTAGTTGAGCAGCGTTCGCTGAAGTAACACAATTGGTGATAATTTCTTAGGATTAAAGAAGTGAAACAAAAATGGATCCATCTATCGTACGTGATTTTAAATTCTTTTAAATTAATATACACGTATATATAAAATGTACATTAATAAATAAATAAATAATTATGGACAATAAATAATAAAAATAAATAATTTGAAAACAATCTAATAAATAATTAAAGTAATTATAATGAACTCATATAATAATAGTTTTAATAAATTTAATGTTTTGATATATATAAAATAGTAAATGAAATTAGACATTAGTGAATGTTGTGAATGTTAATGGCACTTATCAGTGCTTATATGTAAATATATATGATCCATTTTAACGTGATTTAACGTCTTTATGGTTACATGGAGAGGCCAGCGATTCTAACTCTTATTTGTATATAACTTCTTGTGAAACTATTATATCTACTTCGATCTTAAGTATGAAATGCGATATCTTCACTATCTTTGCGATTGGTGAGAAACAAACCTATACACAATAAACCCGTCTCACCTTTAGTAAAGGACGAAGACATATAAAGTGACTGATGGATTTCAGCCAACAATAACTGTAACATATAGTTCGTTTGTTGAAATACGCCACAGTTAAAGCATCAGCGCGATAGCAAGGTCCTCCGTTAATACTCAAGTCAGCACACGAACTGTATATTTGCTGAACTTTAAAAGATTTATTCTACTTTTTTGTATCTAAACTAGACATAATAACTTCCAGTTTTAGCAATCCTACATTTACCAATTGCACTATAATAGTGAATTTAGTTATGCTTCTAAACATAACATGTGAATTATAGAACATCTTCTGATTATCTAGTTCGCTAGTTCGTTTCGTTCAATATCCATATAAAGTGTTCCTTAAATAGTTTTATTTAATTTTCTCAAATTAAAATAAATATGGTATTTTATAAATTAATTCTTTGTAACGTTTACCATATTAAGTGATTAATTTATATATATTATACCAGTTTATAACTAATGAATCAACAAAAAAAAAAAAAAATTGTTACAAAAAATAATAAAAATTAAAATAAAAAATTAATAAAAATAAAATAAAAAAAAAATAAAAAGAAATTATCTATATCCCTTACAATATGACAGGGTTCAGAGCTCTTAAAAAATCGGACTGCAGTAGGAGTGTTCTGCTAACAGTTGACCCCAGTCGACATGATAATCGTTAAGGAGTTCTTAATATCAGTGAGATAGTATCATAAGGCTCTATCGCATAAGGTTCTCCTCCTAGCCAATATGTTTTTTATATATTTCATTAATCCAAAAAAATCATCTCACTCAAAAAAACGAATGTAGTCTCTATTTCTATTTTATTAATTATAATAATATATAGATTAATATGTTTAGTTTATAAATAGGCATGGGAGACAATATTTAAACATTTTTAAATATATAAATATGAAAAACAATTTAATTAAATTAATTTAATAAATTTATAGCAGCAGTTTATATATATTTATAAATTTTTAATCAACAAAACTTTACAATAGTTTTTTCTTATTCCCATATAAGATGGAATGGAATTACTATTGTACATATTATTTATAAATAACTCTAAATTTATTATAATAGAATTATATATAAAATTTATTATAAATAATAAATAATTATACAAAAATAAATACAAATAATAAATAATTTAGAAATAATACAATAATAATTTTTAAATATTTAATTAATTAGCTTTAATAAATTTTTATTTAAATGGGTTTATATATTAGGATGAAGATCTTACTCCAGAGCAAATTGCAGTCTTGCAAAAAGCCTTCAACAGTTTCGATCACCAAAAATGCGGCAGCATCTCAACTGAAATGGTAGCTGATATTCTTCGCTTGATGGGTCAACCTTTCGATAAGAAAATTTTAGAAGAACTTATCGATGAAGTTGATGAAGATAGTAAGATGCTACAAACTAAGTTTACACTAATTACATAAACTTATATATATTATATATTAATTATAGAATCTGGTCGCTTGGAGTTTGAAGAATTCGTGCAATTGGCAGCTAAATTTATTGTTGAAGAAGATGATGAAGCAATGCAAAAGGAATTACGTGAAGCCTTCCGTTTGTACGATAAAGCAGGCAATGGTTACATTCCAACTTCATGTCTTCGTGAAATCTTGCGTGAATTGGATGATCAGCTAACTAATGAAGAATTGGATATTATGATTGAAGAAATCGATTCTGATGGTTCGGGTACCGTTGATTTCGATGGTAAGTTTTTATGAATGAAAAATTCTTATGTACAAACAATTGAAAGAAAATAACGGGTACTTGAGAAGAGTGAAATAAGTGGGGGGTAAAACTATAAATGCCAGTCTAATTATTATTTGTTAGTTTCTTGTTTGTTTATTTGTCTGCCTGTCTAAATGTCAAAAATGTTTTATTTCTAGTGTAAGTCAATTTTCGAAAAATTTGTATAATTTTTGGACAGGCTTGTGAAATCTCAATACCCTTGGCTTCTTGCCAATACTGAATGAAATCAAGCTGTCATGTGTGTGTAGCTTATTTTTCATTTTCATTTTCTGCGCCACAGTAAATCGATACAGAAAAACAAAGGGAAAACAACTGTAATTAGCTAATTTAAAAATGTCAAAGAAAACAGTTGACCTAGCTAAGAAAATTTTTTTATATATACAAACATACATATATACATATACATGCAGACATACATAAACATTAAGACAACGCGAAAAATATCTGAAATAATACTTTCGATGTCGTTTTTGTTGGTGTAGTTTTAAAAAATGAATTATTTTTAACAACTGTTTTATCAATAGTTTCAAAATATAAAATGCACTATAAATAGTTGGGAACAATCACAAAACAATGTGATTGTTTTGGGAAACTAAATTTGTGACTTTTATTTTTAGTACTTGAATACGCCAACCAACTTAATTTATTGTTATTTAAACGGTTTAAGTCTTTTTTACAAGAATTTTTTGTATATCTTCAATGTATTTCCTTTCTTCTCTAATACACTTTTTTTATAGTCGTTTACACAATACACTATTTTTGAATTAGATTAATGTTGCAGTTCAGAGAGCAAATGCAACACAATGTCTTGCAACATTTATCTGCAACATTAAATGTATCTTGGCAGAGTTTTATTTATAGTCACTCATTATTTACTTCGTACTTCGTTTGAAATTAATTTTAATTTTTTATTAAATTTTTCGTTTCAGAATTCATGGAGATGATGACTGGAGAATAGATTGCATTTGAATTTTATATAAAATTACTCAAATCATACCACAACCAATGTACTAATTGTACACAGAAATATTTATTTATGTTGTTAAGCTTTTTGATAATAAGTGCAATTTTTTTCAGTGTAAATAAAGTAATCAAATAATTAATTACCATGTATCAAATGAAATAAAATGTTAATAATAAAATTTTAAAATAATATTTCCTAATGAGATTTTATTATTTAATAGGGATTTTTTTTTAGTTAAAGCATCTGTAAATATATTCTACTGAAAACATATTTTCGATACAAAGGTTTATTCATTTTGTGGTTCCAAAGTAAAAGTAAAGTAAAAACCTTTATATGTTAATAGAGATTTTAACAATATGTTTATTTCAATATGTCGTTAAGTTCTTTTCACTAGGTGTAAAATAAAACATCATTGAAATAAACTTAACGCGTTATCTTAGCGCACATTCACATCATAATGAGGTCATTTATGCATCTGATAGAACTTTTATATGCTCTTACAAATTGAACTTAAAAATATATCACACAAAAAAATGAAATATATAATTGATATATTAAATCATTTATATACATTTCATATAACAATGACATATTCAATTATTAAAAACAAAGTTTGTGTTAAATATTTACTTTCTTTAGTGGCTTTGTTTACAGGTCAGCTGTTGTTTGTTTACATTTTACATATAAAACATAAGACACATATTTTAAAATTTAGGTAATTTCCCTTGTGGGAAATTTAGGTAGATTCGACATTTTTCACTTTAAATGAGTTGGTTAATTGCTAATGAGCTTATTTATAAGAAAAAAACGTTCTATGGTAAAACATCCTAATTAATGGCTATAAAACCGTCTAAATGAGACAGCGTGAATGTACTATAATCATCCTCATTAGTGGCTATAATGAGCAAAACCGCCTAAATGAGACAGTTTGAATGTTCTATTAGAGTGCTTTTGAGGTCATTTTCGATGACTTAAAGCACATTGCTTGCAATATCTGGAAACTGAAAGTATAAGACATTTGTAATTGAAATTTCGATTAAATTTTAACATCAATACATTATTTGAACCTTGTCATTAGGTGTGAAATACAGAATTCGAATCTCTTTCACGCGAGACATCTTATATTACTTATTATTACCTTATGGTCTTACATTAGTAATCGGATAGCTGTAGCGATCAGAACATGTATCAAAAATCCATAGATCAATTACGTATAATTGACGTTTTCATATGTAAGTTTTTGTACGATGCTTTTTCAAAGATTATCGGTTATTTCTGTGTTGTTGTATTGAAACAATATATAGTATCTGTTAGAAAAAGACCCTGTATATTACAAAAAATTCTATAAAAATGGAATATTTTTATGAGAATGCAATTGAACATAATACCTATATTTTTTTATTAAATTTTATTACCTAAAGTAATGATATTTTTTTAAAATTGTAAAATTATGAAATTCTTAAAATTCTTTTAAATTCATGAATACTCATACATATTTAAAAAAAAGTGATGTGAGTTCACTCCAAAAGTCATTATAATTTTAAATTTATGCTAAATTCACAGTATGTCCATTGTTTGCAGAATTGCATGAGTTTGTTGAGATTTACTTTACTGCAACATGAAGTAATAAATTTATTAAAGTAGAAAAACAAAATAATTTTTGGCATATTATAAAGACACGATCATGATCATAATTGAAATAAATAAACACGATCTATCAATATGATTTAATCGACATTCAATAACATCTATATTGTATTTCTTGAAAGATTTTCAACAGTTGCTCATATATCAAAAATGCGGAAGAGCTGGGATAAAGGGGTAACGTTGTCATAAGCGTAGTATTGGTTGAGCGATTAAATTGATGTAAGAGTATATTCTTAAAAGGAACGTTAGCATATATTAACTTAGTTTTGAAATTACAATAATAAAGATGGTTTTTTATTTATTTTTCACAAATTAAAAAAAAACTACGTTTAAATTACATGAAATTAACTAGCATAAGAAAGAAGAGTATTTTAAACAATGTGCAGATCAGTGCTGCTGAATGATGGATTATATCGAGTCTAGTACAATGACAAGCTGAACCATATATTGTGGGTGAGGCATGTACCAAGATTACCTACCAGTAAGCAACAATTAAATATAGTACAAAATATTGTAGAAATATTCACGATCACATACATTAATTTTTTTTACAAAAGTAATGAACTTGACCACATTCAACGGTCTGTCTCCTAGATAGATAAGTGTGCTACTGTTCAGTCTACAATTTTCTCAGAGAATGTATTCAGACGATTCCACATCTATATTATATAAGATATGGACCTCTGAAAAGTCCAATATGTTAAAGCGATACCTTAGCCTATAATATAGTGCATTATCATTAACCCAGTGAGTATTTTGATATAAACTTTGCTTAAAGTAAAGACTTTATTTAGAGCCTGTATAAGATTGGTTGATGGTGCTTATAGTTTGTCTTGGGCTTTTAAATTTCATTTGGGAATACTCGAAGTTTCTCACTTATGTGACTAGAGTAGAGAAGGACTCAGATTTAGTTAATTGACATTGGGCTTCTCATTTGACAAGACTGTAAGCCCTTTCGTTACCTTAGTGTGCTGTTTGCATCCTACAAATATAATGTTTATTATAAGTTGAAGAATATAATAATTTTTTTAAATTTACTTTCTTTAACATTTCCGATATTTGTTAAATGCTTTGAAACATATTACTTTGGTAGACCGCGTATACGTGTATCAACAATTATCATATAATAGTTAATAATCATAAATAATCAACTACTAATAAGCTTAGGTAATAACATAAATGTTGTCTGACTCGTCGTAATAAATTATTATTCAACTTCACATATTAGGCCTCGTATTGTATATATTAAAATTACTTTTTTTACGATAACATTTTCATGAATTTTTTTTTCTTTTTAATACGACTATTCACATAATTTTCTTCTGTTTCAAGTATTAGTTAATAATAATTAAGTATTATATTCATTTAATAATAACTTAATCTAATAATAAATTTGAATAAGAACATTTTATATTCATTACAAAATATGTAACTAATTAATTATGGATAAATTTTTGATAATCCTTTTTTTCTTTTAATAAACTAACACCTTTCAGTAGCAAATTTTAAAGTAAATAAATTAAAATGGTAATTTTATCGGTTTAATGTCAAAATTTGACAAAAATCAGCAATTAAACTTATTGTGTCTGTCCAAAAAAATGAAAAGGTACATCAATCTTATCACATCAGTTCGGAGACAAGTTGCCGTCAAATTAATGCAAATCTTTTCAAATGAAGATGAAGAGGAAAAGCTGTACCATCCAATAAAATACAAATTACCATTTGTTGCAATTTGTTAACTTCTTGTTTTTTCTGGCAATCTGATCATTTGTAGTTAAATTCAGATATCTTCAATTTCTATTAAAACAGAAAATCTTATGCACAGGAGCGCCACCGGCCTAAGCGACATATAATCTTACTTTTGCTTTATAACTTTATGAAGAGATGGAACGACTACACTGAACCTTTCAATCCCCCACTGCGTTCGATGTGTACACTCGCTTTGGAGTTCTTTAAATAAATTTTACTGAAGAATGTCAACAAGTTTCTAGTTTCAAGTATAAATTTCAATTTTAATTTGTCAACTTTTTTATATCAATCATTTGAATCAGCCTTTCAACAACGTGAGATGAGTTGATCTGTTTGAGAGTGCACTAATGTATTGTGATGAACTGTCTCAAATGTTGAATAGATTGACTTAACCATACAAATATTAAAA